ATACCTCAACTGCTCTGGATTTCTTGCTCTTTTCTCTAAGGCAGCAGACCCCAGTGCTAACATCAGAAAGAACAATGACCCATACATATGGGTAGTCCAAACCATTCTAGCAGCACCTGCCCTCCTTTACCATGAAAACGCTTCTCCTTTTGTATTGGTGTTCATCACACTGTTTCTTAAAGGTGGAAGCTAAACCTTGTGCAAATTATCTGATTTCAGCATACACTATGTAAGAATTAGATCAATTAAAAGAAAGGAGGAGGAGGTTGCCACCTTCCAAAATGAAGTGCTATTGTCTATCAAGAAGGCCTTCAATTTTCTACAAGAACCTGAAAGGAAATAACCACAACCCAGAAGGAAACAGTTCAGGATTTGAGACAGTCAAGCTGCAGGAGTGCCACAAAAAAGTCAAAATAAACTCAAACTAAAATAATTTCTTCTCTTCCTGCTAATTTTAAAACGCGTGAGTTGTACGTAGAATCCATTTTTCATTCTTGTAAGTTCAGTAAACTTATTGTAGTGAAATACCAGATTTTTCCCTTCCTTGCAGGCAAATTATCCATAAATGGCAGTTCACTTAAAAAACTTTGTGCAAATATGTCAATAAATGAACTATGCACCCTACTTAAATTAAAAGGTTGACATAACAGATGAAAACATGAATCCTCAGTAACACCTCTGGTAACCTTAGCCCAGCTGTACTTCCACTCATCAAGCTGTCCTTCACATCCTAAAAACACAAGTGAGAAATGCTCAGTAGGACCTGACACACTTTGTTTGTAAAAGATATTATTTCCACAGCAAGTAGGAAGATCAGAGTCTTATTTAACTTTGAAAATTGATTCTATTAACAAATTAGAAATTATTTCTTACACAAGAAATCCTCCTTTTATCTGGAGATGCAGCAGTTTCCAGACTTTTTTCATTTTGATCTGTTTCAAGGGAGTAATCCTTGAGACCAACAAAAACCAACCTCACAAAACAGTGGCATGGAGCAGTCAAAAATATATTATCCAACAAAAATGCCTTCAGGTCCTGCTAACAGCTTTGGAAACTGCTCAAGTAAAAAACTGACCATTCACATAGAGAAAGCATTTCTGAATAGCAGACAATATGGGGAAGACGCAGCAAAAAAGCATCACTGTGTGAAAAAAAAAAAAAAAAAACAGAAAAAATAATTCACATAAATCATTCACAATATTGTTGGCTCTTCATACACTATACAAGAAAGATATAAAAGGACGTTAATGTTTAAAGAGGCAACAATCAGTGTAAGAGAATAATGAAGACTAATATGACTTGTAAAAGCTCCCAAAGGCCCTGTTCTGGATGGGAGTCCCACAGTGCTATGTACAGCAACACAGATGAGTTCCCACCTCAGAAACCACACACTCCAAAGGCAATTAAGCTAAAATAAAATTAACTAGGATATTCATCTGATGTGTTTAACAGCTCTGGTTCTTACATGTTCTTATATGTCTTTGGACTCTGTACTACCACCTCAGCCTAGAGAAAAAGAGGATTACAATCCTTTTTCTGGCAACCTGATTCAGGAACAGTAAGGGATGCTAAGAAAGAAGAAACAAAATATTCACCCTTTCAATCATGAAGTGCTTAGCTCACACAAAGGCTGCTTATCCTGCAGAAGGGGAAAAACAGACTGCTTTCTAAGAAGCAGATTCCTCAATTATGTAACTTTTTTTCTTTAAGAAGCTGGTACTGGGTATTTAATTTCTATAAAACGCACTTTAATCTACAAAGAAATTTTCAAAGTCCATTTCCATCAAAATATTAGCCCTTCCTTTGCATTATGTATTCTTTACAAAATACATATTTTTAAGAGGATGTTGCAGGAAAATGGCTGGAAGTCATCCCAGAAACTACTGCATTATATATCCTTTCTGTAATTCAGGTGAAAAAGATACTATACATTATTCTAGACTGGAAGACAGAAAAGAACAAGTCATTGTGGATTCAGCATCTGCTGCCAGAACAGCAGAAATTATTTTTATGCAGCAGGAATGTCCCTTTTAAAACACATACACAATTCTTCGTAAAATTTAAAAGATTTAATCAATTACCTAGAAGTTTTCTGTTCACTTTTGCTGTGTTGGAGGTCAAAGGGAGACTATAATCACAGTTCATTTGCAAAGCAATTAACACAGATGCATAAATTTATGCAAATATTTGGTCAAAAAGTTTTAAGAGGAACCTTGTTCTTCAACAATACAGCAGCAATGCAGAAAAGTCTATTATAGTTGTATGGTCTATGGTCTATTATACTTCCTAAGAGGAAAGGCTAAGAGAATTGGAACTGTTTAGCCTGGAGAAGAGGCGGTTTTGGGGTGGCCTAATTGTGGCCTTCCAGTACCTGAAGGGAGCCTACAAGAAAGATGGAGAGAGGCTGTTTACAAGAGCATGCAGTGATAGGACAAGGGAGAACAGATTCAAACTGAGAGTAGGTTTAGATTAGACGTTAGGAATAAATTCTTTACTGTGAGGGTGGTGAGGCATTGGAATAGGTTGCTCAGAGAGGTTGTGGATGACCTGTCCCTGGAAGTGTTCGAGGCCAGGCTGGATGGAGCTCTGAGCAACCTGATTTAGTGAGAGGTGTCCCTGTCCATAGCAGGGGGGTTGGAACTAGATGATCTTTAACATCCCTTCCAACCCAGGACATTCTGTGATAGACACAGATAGAAAAAGGAACCCAAAAATAACATAATGAAAACAACCTTGACACTTATCCTGCTTAAAGATGCAAATACAGTAACAAATTACAGACTGCTTTCAGGATCACTCCACTTCTAAAAGCTCTAAATATGAGCATTTCTAAAATCCCACTATTCAATATTAAATACTGAAAATTAAGTTAATATATCCTACTCATCCTTAATCCAGTAATACCTTTAAGTTCTGATGCACCTAATTGCAAAGTACTGCTGTAGCTAAAGATTATCCCCAGCCAGATAGATCCTAAGAAATCCCTTAAGACCCCTTTTTTCCAGAGGGATGAAGCAAGATCGGAAGGTTATAACATATAGAAAATGCATGAGAAATCGCAGCCTAACAGAGATGCTAGAAAGCAGGGCAGCACCCAGAAAAATACAGCTCTTAATGGCTAGTTTCTATTTAAATGGCATTCAGTGTCAGCTTTCAGTTACCGTGCATCATACAGCAGCTACCGCCGGAGCCAAACCCTGTTTGCACAGCTTGGAACTCAGGTGCACAGCACAGAGAGCCCAGCGTACCCAAGAGCCACCTTGAGGACAAAGCTGATAAAACCAAATGCTGATTTTCTTGCTAGGAAGAATAAACATGTACAAAAATGACATCTTTTTATGAACAACTAAACACTTATATAGCAACAGAAGTGGCTCTGTGCATGTGTGTCTACATGCACAACCTGGTAGCATACACTGGTTGCAGAAGCCTGCGGTCCCTGGATACTCTTGTGCAAGGCATTAGGGGCGGGGACAGGGACACAGGGCTCTTGCTGCACTTGGCAGGATGTTCTCAGAGGGCTGCTTCTAATCCACCTTCACTTGTTTGCTATGACACATTGCCCTCTCCACTGCCTAAAGCACAAGCTGGTCTAGTGCCCAGAGAACTCAGTGGAGCAGACATGAAATCACCACCACAGACCTTCCTAATCTTCTACTACTCTCTGAAGTTGCATAGCCTGAAGAGCAGCTTGAAGCCTGGAACCCCCAAACTGTAGGTATGTCAAGTTGCCCACAACTAAATGTCATATATCCATTAACACCTTTGAGGTACCTTGACTCCCTCGTGCCCTCTCTATCTTCACCATCTGTACAACTGTACCCATTAACAGTCAAAAGTCAGATTAACCTGCTTAGCACAGCTAATACTAGTGTTAACACTGTAGGAACGTGTTTAAACTTGACACTGAGTAATTAAAGTAAATCACATGTATTTAAAGTACCCTGTTCCAAAGGCACTCAAATCACTGCAGCACTGTAGATAATTATGTATAGCAGTCAGCGCACTGAAAAAAGAAGATGAGGAAATGTTCCTGACAAAGTGAAGGGAGCTGGTGTGCTCTGAACACAATCTGAAGAAAGAATACGGGTGTTGCATAGCATATAACCTATAAATTAAGCTGTCAATAAAAAGAGAGAGACACTAGAGAAAATAAAGGGAAAAGAAAAACAGCTATTTCTTCAAATGAACCTCAGTTGCTGAATCTCTCTCTATAAATCTAATTGTATATATTTTAAAATCCAATATCACTTTGTTCTAAACATTATTTCCTAGATGTCAAAATCAGCACAGAGGACCATGTATTTCTTGAAATAAATTTGACAGGCTGCTATATTATACTTTTCATGCTTACTGGTATGCCACAACAGTTAATTTATAAAAAAACAAAGCTCTGTAAAAACAAAGTTATATCTCTAGGATATTTTCATGAAACATTGTTTCACAGCTAATAGCCTCTAAAAAGGAAAAAAACTGATGGATGAGAAAGGGTTCTACCCAAAATGACTAATGAAGAAGAAGAAGGAAAGGGTAGCATGTGAATCTGCAGCAAAATATAATGTAACTATTGATCTCTGCAATCAGTAGCAGGTTGTCTTTCAGATCACAGGTACTTTTATAGTTACACAAACGTCCTTGCTTGCTCAACAGTGAAGGTCTTAAAACAATTGACCTGATTTTTGGTTTATTTAAAGGGTTAGGGGCTCCTGTTCAATCTCTTTATTGGGCATCAATTAAAAAGAAAAAAAAACAGAGAAACACTGTAAATAATGAATGATGTTATAATAGAAAATTACAGCATTAGCATAAGTAGAATAAGCAAACCTATAGCAGCACAGCAGATTTATGACAGTTCCATCAACAAGAAACCTGGTAAAAGACAGTTTTAAAATGCTCTTACACAACAGAAAACCTGAAAAGGCAGAAGGCTCTAAGGAAGCTGAACTTATACACACAAAATGAACTACAGGTAACGGTGCTGAGAGATGTATGCATCTTACCCGTGAGTACAGCTTTTGCTGAAGGGTCTGCCAGATCCAGCGCAGATTTCCCATCAGTGTTCCGAATGTTTGGATCAGCTCCGTGCTGCAGCAGCACTGTGCAGGGAAAGCAGAAACAGTATCTTACCTCAGGTATACACAGGTTATTTACTGTTAAGTGTCTCCTCGGCATGATGTAGGCATAAACACACATTGCACAATTTTCTTTATTTTTCCTTCTGGGGTTTTTTTTTCTCTCTCTCTTTTTTTCCTCCTTTTTTTTTTTTTTGTTGTTGTTGTTGTTAAGCACTGCAGCAAAGGATCTTCTCCGGACTAAGGTTAAGTTGGCAAGTTAAGATATAGTAAGACCACATGACTTTGCATGGTAAACATAAACCCCGAATCTCTTGCAGTACTCGGGTTTGGGTTCCTCCTGACAGCTATAGCTGGTATGCTGTGCAGTCACTGACTCACACTGGGAAGTCTGCTGAGGAACCTGCTTCTGCCTTTACTACCAATACTGCTGCTTGTTACCACTCCTGCTCCTTTTCCTGCTGAATATCTCAAGTCACTCCGCCTCTGTAAATCAGTAATACCCCAGTCTTCCAGTGGCTCATCACTTGTGCAGAAAATCTTAACCATGGCACACTGGCTCACCTTCAAGAACTGTAACAAATAAGGTAAGATGTGTAACCTGGTACCCTGCAGACTGGATGTTCAAAGGCTATTATTCTCACTGGTGTTTCTTGTCCCTACTAAGCCTATAAACACATAAAAGTTCAAGTACATAAAAATACTTAGAATGCAGTATGCAGCCATATGGATAGGAAGGCACTGATACAGTAAATTATCATCAACTAGAAAATCTCATTTAAAAAAACCAGTATTTCACCTGTAAACTCTTTTGATCAGAAACAATATAAAGAAATTCAGATCACCATCTCAATATCAATGCATTTCCTGCAGAACTGGAAAACAAAGCCCATGGCAACATTAGAGGGTTGACAAAAAGGGCGCAAATGTTATGCAAAATAAGCACAACATATTACAAATTCAGAGCAACAGCTACGCACTAATTTTGCACCAGTGTGAAAAACAGGACAATACACATAGACTCAAGGTGAAGGAGACAAGTAATAAAAACCAGCAGATATTTATGGTTACTCTTATAACTACATCTGTTGAGATATGAAGGGACTGAAGAAGTCAAGACATAGAAATACTTGCAAACACTTTTTGTAAATAAGGGTGCAAAACCACTTCATAGACGGGATTCTGCAGGAAAAAACCATAACCAATTCAGAACAAAGTAATTACTGATATTATATTATATATATATGCATATGTATTTCACTTGAATCAGCAAAATACTTGTCAGAAATATACTTTTTTCTAAATTAAAAATTTAACTGGTAGTATTGTTTTTATTCAAACCTCTTTTCTTATACATTTCTGACTGCAAATTCTTTTAAGATTGCCAAATTTCATATATTTTAGCTTACAGGATGCAATGCTACATGCTTGCCCCTAAGCTGAATTTTTGGAGAAGTTCAGTGTTTCAGTGAAGTAAATTGACTTATTTTATGCTTTGTCTGATGTTTTTGAAAGAAGACTCAAGTAGGAAGATTGGGCTTTGCTGGTTTTTTGTTTGGTGGTGGGTTTTTTCCCCCCACATCAAGACAAAAACATCAAAATGGGGAAAAAAATAGCTAGCACGTGCTTACAGAATCTTGTTAGGCTCTGGCACCTACGTTTCTGAAGATACCATCTGTGCCATACATGCTACCACCCCCTTCGAGATCTTACTCACAGAGAGGTTTGAGACTGAGCCAGCCTCTCAAGCCAGTCAGGCACACTCCAGCAGGAAGAGGCAAACAGGACAGTAGTAAGTACAGGAACTAAGTATGGAGAGACAGACTCAGTATGTTTTGTCTCTATTCTCTTGGACCCCACTAGTGAATTTATATACCTGGGGAGAAGGAAGCCATTTGTCCCAAGAGGCATCAGGGTAAGAGTAGGACCTTAAAAGAGGGTACCAGCAACTAAGTGTCTATCAAGAGAAAGCAGGTAGCACAAAATGATGAAATAGCACAGCACTGATGAGAAAGCAAAGAAGGATTCACATGGCAAAAGGCCTGGGACAAAGAGTTGGGGGAGAAAACTGAAAAAGAAGATGTGGCAGGGGAAAAGATAATAGCTTTAATAAAAAATCCATGAAGAAAGACCAGAAGGGAGGAATGACTGGGATCTGACCAGGGTTTGGAGGTTTGGGCTAGCATGTGAAGCCAAGTTGAGGCAGGTTAGGGCAAGAAAGGTGACTTTGAAAAACAAGAGGTAACAGGTGTATAAATCTCAAAGGGATCTGCAACTGCCTGAGCCCAGTGTTAAAACTGAAGTACATCTTTTCAAGTCTCTTGATTCTTCAGTCCTGAGCAAACAAACCAAGAGCACTTCCCTGCTACAACACCACAGTACTGTTTTCAGCTCCTCTCCTGGTTAAAATGACAAACGATTATGCAGTCTATGTAACCTGTTCATACATGCTAATGAACCACAAAGGGTTTGGGCATGGCTTACAACATACAATTTCTGTGTCCAGTTTTTAGTTTTTTAAAACCCTAGACAAATACACTAAAAATTTACTAAAAAGTCTTAAGCTGGTTGCCTGCAAACACCTTGAATTACTGACAGCCTGTGGAACATACACTTAAAGTGGCCAAACTAAGTTCAGGAAAAGAACCTATCAGAACTCAATTGCTGTAACTATGAGACTTATCCTTCTTGTCTCTGCAATCACTCATCCCACTTGACATAACCCTTCCAGCCTCTCCAACAGCCAAGGGTATGGTCCTACAGATTCAGCCCTAGAAACCCTGTGAAATGAAGGCCATGGCATTTTGAGAGAAGAAACCAATCATATAAACAAAGACTGTATTAGAATGCATATGAATAAAGGAAGAAAACTCGGGTCACAAAAGCAATCTTACTCTTGCATTTCCTCTACTGACTATTTGATTCTAACCTTTCCATACTTTTTAAGTACATAATCTCACACAAGAGTATCCCAGTGAGCAATGTTGTCATCAACAAGAGTTAATGAGAGAAATCCAGCATTTGATGTTTAGCCTATCGGTGTAACACAGCTGTACTTCTATACCTGGCAAACCACAGGTAGCTTCTAATTGAATGTTCTCCTGCATGTTCAAAACCTTTAACACTTTAGCCCAACACAAAGTCTCTTCTAACCACAGGGTATTTGAGATCTAGACACAGTGTGTCTCTCTAAATTTCCTTTTCAATACACCAGGGATGTGTAAAAATGTCAAGATAGATATCCTGCGTGGGGAAAAAAAACCATTCCTTCTATAAAGAAACACAGCAGAACAAGCCATTCTAACTAATTGTAGCTATTTTGGATTTCAAACACTGCACACTGGTTTTAGAGGACGGTTTCTAAGTGGCCTGAAAAGGGAATGTGCAAATTGCTTATGTTAAGAAACTGCTGTTAACAGGCAAGTGTAAGGATGCTGTGCACAAAAATTAACTCCTGGAACTTTGTTAATTACCATATTTGGATATGCTGGTTTATTTCCTCCTGACAATGGGGTGTATTTTTCTGTACTGCAGGCAGCACCCTTAATGATCTAGCAATACCATTACCTGGCTATCCCTGCCTATTCCACAGACCACTTTGTACAAAGAGTATAAAGAAGCTCTTCTTTTTACTGTATCTTCATACTGCATATGGACATCAAAGTCCTGTAAGTTTAACTATAGTACAAACATGGACTGGTTCAGAGCTGTATTTTTACCCTCACTGCAACTGCTAAAATACTTCAGTTTCTGATCTTCACATACCATCTGAAATGCCTTATTTAATTACACTGCTATTATACCAGATCAATGCTAAAGACAAGAAAGGCCATATTCTTCCCACATTAACAAAAAAAAAAGTTACTGTATTGCACCGAGTATATAATACAACCACTAATCATTTCAGATTACTGCCAAGTCACTACAGCAGGATGAAAACTAAAACTGGCTCACAGCCTCCTGGCATAGGTATTTTGAACTGTGAAGTTAACCAACACAACCTCACTTGGCTGTCAAATTATAAACCCACCAAGAACAAATATTTCTACTTTTAGCAGTTTCAACCTTCCCATATTCAGCAACAAGGTATGGCAAAGACTTCTCTGGTAGCTATACATCAACAAGTGACAAGTAAGTTTTTAAAATCTAAAACAACAGAAAAAAGTTTTTGTACACAGAAAACATCACTCAAGAACTTAGTCCTTCCTCCTTCATACTATCTCAATTAAAAGTCCACCAGAAGAAAACACTTTTGATTGAAAAACATAAATACAATGGGAAAAAAATAAATTTGTTTCAATATTAGGCACAAAGATCAGAATAGTTCAGTTATGACTTCTATAGGCCCAACATCCACAGCTTCCTGACTATCCTTACAGGAATGCTGATGGAAAAGTTCACATTTGGTTTTGAATCAGAAGCATGCAAATACAAAAAAAAGGGCACATCCAAACTTTTGACTGCTGAGTGAAAAATGCAAGAACAACAGGCAAACCTTCCAGAAGCATCTGTACTTAAAGCTGCCTACTGCTTTTAATTACATTTCCAGTGTTCCTCACAGCTCTACCACTGCCTCTTCTCTCCCCTGTTCTTTTATCACTGTGTCCCACTGCTTTGTGCTTGTGGTCCCTTCGAGCTATCCTAGCTTTAGTATATATTCTTTCCTCCCCCTTTTAAACTCCAACTTCTGGAGGAGAGCTCCAAAGATCCTTTTCAAACCATTTTACTGTAGCTTTATCTACTTACTCCCAAAGAATCAAGGTACAGAGAAAGCAGCCTAAGAATAAGGCCTCCTTTTGAACTACAAAATAAGCACTTTCTTCCATCTCCCTAAAGGACACCTTTGGGGCAGGTCAGTCTCTCACTAACCGTAGGTCCCAGGAACGCACACATCTCTCAGTACAAGTCCCTTGTAGGACATGTTTCCAAGTTACACTTGATGAGAAATATGATGTGCTCATTCACCTCCACATTCCAAAAACATCTAGACAACACACTGGAATCCAAAGTATTAATTTTTTTCAGCCAATGCTAAATGCATCTTCTCCCCTAGCTACCTATAAATGTAAATCAAACCACTGAGGTTTTGGAGCTTTTCTCCTGTTACAAGAGCAAGTTTTC